ACGGTGATGATGATCATGGTGTCCCGATGACGATGATGATAATGATGATGACGATGATGATGATGAAGATGACGATGATGGTGTCCCGATGGTGATGATGATGTTGATGATGAGGATGATGATGAGGCGATGCTGATGATTTTGATGATGGTGGCCCAATGATGGTGATGTTGATGATGATGTTAATGATGAAGATGGTGTTCCGATGATGATGATGATTATGATGATGATGATGATGATGATGATGATGATGATGATGCTGGTGACGATGATGATGGTGTTCCGATGATGTTAATGTTGATGATGATGATATTGCTAATGATGATGATGACGATGATGATGGTGTCCCGATGATGATGATGATGTTGATGATGTTGTTCATGATCATGATGATGAGATGGTGGTGATGGTGGTGCTCCGATGGTGATGATGGTGTCCCGATGATGATGATGTTGATGATGATGATGATTATGGTGACGATGATGGTGTCCCGGTGATGATGGTGATGATGATGATGTTGATGATGATGGTGATGGCGTGATGATGATGATGATGATGATGATGATGATGATGATGTTGTCCCGATGATGTTGATGATGCTGATGATGATATTGATGACGTTGAGGACGATGCTGTTGATGTTGATGTTGATGTTGATGTTGATGATGATGATGATGATGATGATGATGATGATGATGATGATGATGATGATTATTATTATTCTGATGATGATGGCGTTGATTGTGGTATCGATTGTGATATCGATAGTGGGATCGATAGTTAGACCAACTGTGGGATCGATTGTGAGATCGATAGTGAGATCGATAGTGAGATCGTTTGCGAGATCGATAGTCAGATCGATTGTGATATCGATCGAATGAAATAGATCGAGTGAGATCGATCGAGCGAGACCGATAGTGAGATCGATAGTGAGATCGATAGTGAGACCGATCGAGTGAGACGTTGGTTCCCCCCCCCGAACCTCCTTATCACCCGAAGGGTGGTCGTATATGTATATATGTATCTATATAAACAAGCTATACATATAAACAGCCCTGGCCTTCGTCCATCCCGCCGCTGTGCCACGGTTGTGGGTATATAGCCTATTGCGTGTTCGTTGGGATTTTGTGGGGGGCCTCTCGGGGCCTCTTGGAGGCAGTTTGCAGGCCTCTTGGGGGCTGCTTCGGGGCCTCGTGGGTTCTCGTTTGGGCTTCTTCGGGGCCTCTTGGGGGCCTCGGGGGGGTCCCTTGAGGCCTCCTGGGCGCCTCTTCTTGGGGCCTCTTGGGGGTCTCTTGGGGCGGAAACCTTGGATTTTCGGCTCGTGTTCCCTCTCTTGGGCCCCTTTTGCGGCCGTCTTGGGGACCTCTTGGGCCGTCTTGGAGAGCTCTTGGCGGCCTCTTGGGCCATGTTTGAGATGGATTTGAGGCCTCTTGGGCCGTCTTGGGGCGTCGGGAAGTCGGGAAATCCGAGGAGGCCAACATCCTTCAAAACACGTCAGGGTAATTACTGACTTTTGCCTCTTGGGGCTCTCTCGGGCTGCCTTTGGGAGCCTCAATGTAGCCCCAGGTGGCCTCAAGTCGGGCCTCCACGCAGCCAACACGGTCACTGACGACTTCAGACTGCAGAGCATCGCCTTCCGACTGCCCACAGATCCCCGACGATGCCCCAAGGGACCCCAAGCCCACGACCCCCCCAGGAAGCACCCAAGAGGTGCCTCCAACAGCCAATTGAGGAAGCACGGAGAACCCCCCAGAAGCCCTTCATATGCCTTCCAAGAGGCCCTCAGGAGGCAGGACTATGTCACGCGCCTGTGGTTTATAGCGCTGTCCAAGATCTTCCAGCCCCCCCCGGCCTGGGCTAGAACCTGAGCGCGCGAAGTGCGCCCGATGGTTCTAGTACACATGTATACATACATGCATACACATACATCCATACATACATACATGCATACATACCCACGTGCATTCATGCATTCATCCATACATACGTACACACGTACACACACCTCCATATGTATGCACGCATATGTATGTATGTTTGATTGCGTATGGGAATGCGTGTATGTATACATACATATATGTATGCATGTATGTGCGTATGCATGTATGTCTGTGTATGTGTAGTTGTGTATGCATATGTACACGTATATGTACATGTCTAGGTATATGTGTATACGTGTCTGTATATGCATATTCGTTTGTACATATACACGTACATGTGAATGTATGGGTGTTTGCCTGCCTGTCTCTATGTATGAATGTACGTATACAATGCATGTAGATGTACGTGTGCATGTAATACATGCACATGTATGTATGTATGCATGCATGTGTGCGTGCATGCATACATGTATGTATGCATGTGTACCTGTATGTCAGTTTGCATGTTTCGTTGTATGTATGTATATTTAAAGTTATGTATGTGTGTATGCATATTTGTACGTACGTATGTATGTATGCGTGCATGCATGATTGTCTGCATGCATGCATGCATGCATGTATGTATGTATGTATGTATGTAAGTCAGTATATATTGATGCATGCATGCACGCATGCAGACATGTATGCATGCATGTGTGCGCATATATATTTATATATATAGACATACATGTATGTGTGCACACATATGTATATATATGTATGTATGTATATATATAAATAAATAAATATGTGCACGCATGCATGCATGCGTGTATGTATGCGTGTATGTATGCATGTATGTATGTATGTATGTACGTATGTACGTATGTATGTCTGTATGTATGTGTGTATGTGTGTAGTTATACGTATGTATAGAATCTGCCCTCCTGCCCAAGCCAGGAGGGCGTATGCACCGATCCCGGGCCCAGGATGCGCCTGGCCAATATAGATGCAAATGTATGAGCGCCCACCTGAGACTGAGTCGGCGACAGGAGGAGGGGGCCGGTGCCTGCGAGAGCCTAAGTGGTCGGGCGTCGAGCAATGGGGGCGCGATGGATGGGGGATGAAGTAAGGTGCACCCTTTGTGCCTTGAAGGGTGCCCTTGGGGGGTACAAAATGGGGCACGAACTCCCCCCCCCTCGTTTTTATCGCCCCCCACAAAGTAACGCCCGATGCGGACGAACGCAAGGATGCCGCGCCAGGGGATGGCGTTGCTGCCCGCCGCGCGGGGTGCGCGGGGCCGCTCGGACGGAAAGGCCCCGCTTGAGAACCCCCACCCGCTAGGCCAGTGTCGATCCGATCGATCTGGTTAGATATTGGCTCTGGGCGGGTCGAGCCGATTCGATTCCGATTATGCCGACGATGTGCCAGGATATGGCGCTGCTGCCCGCCGCGAGGGACGCGCGGGGCCGCTGGGACGGGAAGGCCCCCGCCCGCCCCCCCGCAGTGCCGCCGCCGCTGCGCCCCTCCCTCCCACGCAGACGCGCGAGCGCTCACGCTCTCGCCAGAGGAGGAAGAGGTACCCGTACCGCTACCCTTCCCTCCCTCCTCCCTCCCTCCCTTTCCATCCCTCCTCACTCCCTCCATCCCTTCCTCTCTCCTCCTCCCTCCCTCCTCCCTCCCTCCTCCCTCTGTCCTTCCTTCCCTCCCTTCCTCCCTTCCTCCCTCCTCCGCCTCCGAGGAGGGATGAGGGAGGGAGGATCAAAAGGCACCAGTACCGCTGCCCTTCCCTCGTTCTCGCCGTTCTGGGTGCCTCCTGGGGTGCCCTCGTCGCCGCAGCTGGCTCCGCTTCGAAGTCCTGGTCAGAGCGCACCCCGGGAGAGGTCCGGGGAGTAGCGGTCTCGTTTTTTTTGGTTTCCCCAGCTCGAGCGCGCGCGTGCGCTCGAGGCGGGGAAGGAGGAGAAGGAGAGACGGGCCCGCCCCTGGCGGCTGTGCTGCCTTGCCCCCCCCCTCAGGCGATCGCAAACATGGATCAAAGGGGGGTGGATCAGCGACGGGTCCAGGCTTCATGGGAAATCGCGGATTTCCGCCGCCGAGCGAGGCGGCACTGGCCGTATTGGGAAGGGCACCTCCGCCGATCCATTGATTTTTCGACCGCGAGCATAATCCATGGATCGCTAGTCCATGTCTGCACGCCCCCGACCCCCCGCCCCCACTGCCGCTCCTGGAGACACCCGCCCGCCGCTTCTGGCGCCCAGGCCGTCCAGGCAACGCAGTGGCGAGGTCGCCGTCCTTCGCAGTCGTCGTGGTCGCTGCCGTCTGTCGGCTACGCGCAAGATTGGCCTCTCGCCGGAGCGAGCTATGGTGCGGGCCCACAGGATCCCCAGCAGCAAGGGCTGGCGTGCTTGGATTTCTTAGATTGGGCCTCCCCCGTGGCACCCTGAAACCGCGCGCCAAAGGTTGCTCTTGCCTAGGGTCACTACTGTGTGCAGCCGAGTCTGCTTCCTCGTCGTGCAGTCAAGACCCTAAATAAGGACCACTGGTCAGAGGAGGACAAGGTACCAATGCCGCTGGTCGTCCTGGAGAGCCCTTGTTGCCAGGGCTAGACTCTTTCCAATTCCGGTCAGAATGCGCCCTGGGAGAGTCCGAGCTGGGTCGGGAAGTATTTTCGTGGCCGAGGTTCACCGTTGCCAGAAACAAAAAACACTTTTTTCCGTTCCTTCTGTCAGCACGGTGATTGTCGCTGTCGTCGTCGTCGTCGTCGTCGTCGTCGTCGTCGTCGTTGTCGTCGTCGTCGTCGTCGTCGTCGTCGTCGTCGTCCCCCGCTCTCCCTCCTCGTCAGCAACAAGAGGTGCTTTCCACCACTCTTCCTTGCGATGGTCGGGACGGAGGTGGCGCTCGATGGCGCCAGGGCCAGATCCAGAACAGTCCATAGTATCAGCGTCAGGAGGCGTAGTCGAAGGATGAGGAACAGGAAGAAGACGAGTAGGAGGAGGAGGAGGGGGAGGAGGAGGAGGAGCAGGAGTAGCAGTAGCAGGAGGAGGAGATGACGTGAGTCGGGCAAATATGCATCAACGATGTTGCAACGCACCCTCCCGTACCGAGCCCCCTCCCCTCACGGGTCCCTTCTATCACTGGGAGGAGTTGCCCGAGAACAAAAAGACCACCGTGGGTGCGGGCGTGGGCGTGGCCGTGCCGGCGGGTGCTCCGTCCTGGAACACGTGCCTCCCTGCACCATCCTCGACCACCAGGTCAAGTTGCGCTGCCGCCCGACGCCACCGTAGGCTCGGGGGGGACACCTCGGGGAGGGGGGGAAGGGCTGGACGAGAGGGGAGGTTGGGGGGGGGGGGCTTCGGTTGCGGGTCGTTCACGGGGGGGGGGGGCGTCATGGGGCGCCTTTGCCGGGTCTTGCCCTGGCGCCTGTGGCGCAGTTGGCGAGGGGGGGCGCACCGCGCCCCTGAGGTCTTCCGGCTCCGCGAGTTCGCCTCCGACGCGGCGGAGGCCGGGAGATCGAGAGGCGCCGCGCGCGGCTTTGCAGGAAGCCTTTGCGCATGAGCGGTCGTCGTCGTGGCCGTTCAGAATTTTGCCCCTCCTGCGCCCGTCCCCCTCTCTTTTTCCGTCCTCCCTGCGCCTCGTTCTCCTGCGCCTGTTCTCCTTCCGCCCTGCTCTTACCGTCCCTCCCTCCGCCTCGTCGGGTGAGAGGGAGGAAGATGATGAGGGAGGAGGTGTGGCCAGGGGCAGGAGCAGGATGGGAAGGACGAGTAGCTTGTTGATGGTGGTGATGGGGCTGAGGATGATGGTGAGGGTTATGATCAATATGGGGGTGACGATGGAGAGACGATGCAGATTGTGTTGATGCTGATGATGGTGAAACTGATGATAATGATGACGATGATGATGATGATTTTGATGATGATGATGATGATGATGATGATGATGATGGTGATGGTGATGGTGATGGTGATGGCGATGGTGATGGTGATGGTGATGGTGATGGTGATGGTGATGCTGCTGATGATGCTGCTGATGATCATGATTATGCTGCTGATTGTCGTAATGATGATAATGATGATGATGAGGATGATGAGCTGCTGCTGATGTTACTGATGATGATGCAGATGATGATGATGATGATGATGATGATGATGATGATGATGATGATGATGAGGATGAGGACGAGGATGAGGATGCTGATGGTGATGAGGATCAAGACGAGATGGACGACTATGAGGATGAGGAGGGTGATGATGATCAGGATGATGATGACGATGCTGATGATTATACTGATGGTGATGATGATGATGATGATGATGATGATGATGATGATGCCGATGGTGATGATGATCGGGATGATGATGACGCTGCTGATGATTATACTGATGATGATGATGATTATTATTATTATTATATTGTGGTGGTGATGGAGATGAGGATGGTGGCGATGGCGATGTCGCTGACGATGGCGATGACGATGCAGATGATTACGATGTCGACGACGATAACAATGACGATGAGATGTGATGCTGTTGCTGTTGATGATGATTCTGATGGCCATGTTGACGACGACGATGACGATGACTATGATAATGATGGTGAGGATGCTGATGAGGAGAAGGAGAAGGAGGAGGAGGCGGAGGTGGAGTATGTGGATGGTGATGAAGATGATGACGGTGATGGTAATGATGATCATGATGACGATGGCGATGACGATGACGACTGCGATGACGATGACGATGACGATGACGATGACGACGATGATGATGATGATGTGATGATGATGATAATGATGATGATGATGATGATGATGATGATGATGATGATGATGATGATGATGATGATGGTGATGATGATGATGATGATGATGATGATGGCGGTGATGCTGATGATGATGATCATGCTGATGATGCTGATGATGATGACGGTCATGAAGAAGAAGTAGATGATGATGTTGATGCTGATGTTGATGCTGATGCTGCTGATGATGATGATGTTGATGCTGATGCTGCTGATGATGATGATGATGATGATGATGATGATGATGATGGGGAGGCTCAAGACGATTATTCTTGTGAGGATGCTGCGGCTGCTGATGATGATGCTGGTGGCGATGATGCGCATGTCGGTGGTGATGATTCTGATGACGACGATGAGGGTGGGAGGAGCAGGCGGAGCGGGATGAGGACCTTCCGAGTTGATCTTGCCTCGACGTGCTCTCTCTCCTTCTCTTTCTGTCTTCCCCTCTCTCTGTCTCTCTCTCTCTCTCGCGCGCGCGCACACTGACGCGCGCGCGCGCTCCAGGGATGCCAGCCGTGCACACCAACTCTCACCAGGCCCATCTGATCAGGCCCATCTGGAGAGTCCGGTTCGTGTATACACTCCCTGCCTGGCCAGCAGGGCGCGTTCGCCGAGCCCAGGACCCGGAAGGGACCGAACAGGCTTGATCTTGCGCAGCCCTGCAGCCGCGCGCGTACCATCGGCGATTCGGAGCGTGGCTGCGCGGTTCTTGAAAGGTTGTGTGCAGCTCTTCGATTTCACACGCGTCCTTTCCGTGAACAGGTGTTTCAAATTCAAGTGTTTCCTCAAATGTTCCCCAAATATGGTGTTTCGCCTGATACATCCTCACAGCACGAAGAAGTTTGATGACATAGTTCGCAATGTTGTTTACAGCGCATGAAGCCTTCGCTGCAGACGCCCTCAGAAAACGGAGATGTTGAACTTGCTTGCTAAGTCCTTAGATGTTAGGGGATGTGCCCTCGCCAAAGATATCTTCAAAACCACGCTTTGTGAATAGATTTTGTTCGACGCAACAGCGTTAGTCATTGGTGTTTCAAGAGTTGTTCAACATCGGGCGTTTCGTTCGAGACATCCTCAACCAATGTTGTTGTATACGTATTCGAAGCTGTTCCAACAATACGTTGAACACCAACTTGGGGTCCAACTTCTCGGGGTGGTCACCCGCTTTCGGAACGCTGAAACTCAGTGTAACCACATAGAAACAGCTGGCTGCAACTCAGTGTAACTGCAGCCATATAGAACGCTGCAACCCAGTGTAACCACTCAGAACGCTGGCTTGTCTTCGAGGTACGATAGAAACAGCTTTGCAGCATCGGTCTCGCTTGAAAACTCGGTTCCACCATTTTCGCGACATCGTTGGTGGACTCTCTTGGGTGATGGGGAGGGGAACGAGAAGTCGCAGCAGGGCCAGAACCAACCTTGGGAGCAGTTCACTGCTGGCGCCAGTTCAGCGCCACGCCTGACTTGGTGCGGGCAGTGAGCTCCTTCCGTTTTCGCAGGGTTCGGAGGACGACCAGGTCAAGGAGGCGGAGGCAGACGATCGACAGCAGCAGGATCACGACCAATCTCAGAAGCAGCTCGCTACCCGCGCTAGTTCAGCGCACCCCCCGAACCGGCGTGCGCCAGAACTCCACCCATGACCTCGTTGTGGTCTCTCGGGGAGCGCGCCTGCTCGGTTGTGAAGAGTGCTTGCCCAACTCTCCGACTGCACGCGATGCCTGCTCTTGTCGAGAACTGTATCCCAAAGCAGGCTTTCCGCCCGGTGTATCGTCACACCATGGAGATCTTACGAGGCTATATCTCAAAACGTAATTAGCAAAACACGATACCCTCGTTGCAGGACACCCGGAAAATGGAGATGTCGAATTTGATCGCCGCGTCATTGGATATTTGGAAGTGTGGTTTTCGCTTGAGACATCCGCAACGCAATGCTTTGTTAAAGCATTGTTTTTCGATGCCATCTTGAGACCTTCTTGGAGGACCCCCACGACGGCCCAAGAAACAAGACTGTTGAACAACCAATGGTGTTCAACACGTTTGTTCCACACCAGGCTTTCCGCTCGAGGTTCCTCAAAAAATTGAAACTTGGGCTTGCGCCACACCGCCGACCCCTTTGGGAAACCGGCGGTTGTGGTGGTCTGCTCCTGAGAGCCTCATGGACACCTTTGGGTGGCTCTTTGGTGCCCTTTTGGGCACATCAGGGGGGCCAATGGGGGGCCTCTTGGATCGTCGCGGAGGGTTCTCACGGGTCTCGGGGGGCCGAGGGCTCGAAATGCATGCTGAGGTTTCCTTCCGGGGCCCTTCTTGCAGCTGGCTCGTTTGGGCCATGTTGGAGGCCTCTGAGGCCGTCTTTGGGGCCGTGTAGAGGCTCTGTTTGCCTGTTCAGGGGCCCTCGTGGAGGCCTCTGGGGCCGTCTGGGGGGATCTTGGGAGCCTCTTGGGCCTTCGTGAAGCGTCGGGATGACAACAAGGCGAGAACGTTAATTTTTTAGAACATCGGATTTGAAAATCAACGAATGTTGGCTCGTGGGGCCCTCTTGGTAGGGCTCTTGGAGGCGCCTTGGGGCGTGTTAAGGGCGTCTTGGGCCGTCTTGAGGTTACTTGGCCGTCCTGGCGGAGCCGTCGGCGACTGGGGGCCCTCTTGGGCAGTCTTGGGGGCCTCTTGGGGCTTATGGGCTCGTTGTGGCATCCTCTATCCTCCCATGATGCGGTGGGGCCGGGCCCGGGGGATCCCGGCGGACCCCCCTCCCTCCAAAGCGACTGGACCGGGGTCTGGGTGGAGGGGTCGGGGGAGGGGTAAGCATCTCACACGTTGAGGACACCCCAAGGGGTCGGGATGTTGCCGCCACGTGCACACTGCAGTGTTTTTTCCTGAGTAGGTTGGTGGGCCTGCACACACGAGGTAATCTGATGTCCTCTGCACCGCACACACCTCAGCACAACCCCCAGCACAACCACCCAGCACAAACCCCCAGCGCAGCCCCCAGCACAACCCCCCAGCACCCCTCCCCCTTCACAACCCCCCAGCACAGCCCTCCAGCGCGACTCCCCGGCACAATCCCCCCGCACAACCCCCCAGCACAACCCCCTAGTACAATGCCCCAGCACAATCTCCCAGCACTACCTCTCAGCACAACCCCCCAGCATAATCCCCCAGCACGCCCCCCCAAGCACGACCGCAATGATTCGTGGCGTGTTGTTTTGCTTGGCGGAACCTTGTTTGGTTACACGCTGCGTCGTGGTTCCTTTTTTATCTTTATGTTCATTTCTTTTCTCTGCCCCGCCTCGGGGCTGCGATATCAACGTGACAAGCTAGAATTGTTTTTTTTTGTGAACTCCCTGTGCGGCAGACCAGCACGGCTGACAGGTCAGCGGCGTTTCCCATTCTTGTCCGGTCAGACTCTTCAACAAATTGCGATGTTGCCGACATCGTCGTGGAGTCGTTCTTGGTTTTTTGGGGGGCGGTCCCCTTTCGAACGAAACAGCGTAACACAGCTTCAAATGGCTCCCCAGAGGGATCCGATAAGGCCTCCAGACGGCCGAAGGATGGTGTCGATGAGGCCAAATATGGCTCCAAGGCAGCCCAAGATGGCCTGAAGAGATCTCTTAAGACAGCTGCAAGAGACACGCGGCGCGAACATCTCCCAACAGCGCCAAGCAAGTCACCCAGAAGCGGTTCAGACAGGTCGGGGAACACTACGTCAAGACGGCCCGTAACACGCAA